GATGCACCAAGTCGTCGAGTGCCATAATGGACTCGTCAAGTTCAAGGCAAACATCATCCAAATCATCGAGCTCAATGATGGACTCGGCGAGTTGGCCCTGGCAGAATCCTGAAATGTAGTTTTTCAGCTTTGAAAATAACACAATTTCATCAATACAATATAAAGCACCCATGGCTCCGATACCACTATTGAATTTTATGTACTCTTACATTCCTATGCTACACATAAAACCCTAATGCTTTGGATCTAAGTTTTCTCTAATTTTACATGCAACATTGACATCCAAAGCATGAAGCCTAAACTAGCATACAAAATTTAACATATGAATCATAAAATTAGTTAGAAGGTTACCTCGTGATATAGCTAGTAAGACTTTGGCCTTATGAGAACTTAGCACCCCAAGTGTTGTGCCCCAAACAAGTCACAAACACCAGTAAACAACTAGATGGATATGAGAGAGATTTAGGAGACTAGAATTCGGATTCTACTTCCTGGAATGCAAGGTGTAACCGATTTTAGCTTATGAATATATATATATATATATATATATATATATATATATATATATATATATATATATATATATATATATAGGGTCATATGTAACCCTAATCCATACCTATAAGCTTATGATCCACCCATTTAAATTGGATAAATACTTCATGGATTAACCTATAAGCTCATCACAAATCAAACCATGGATCATTAGCCCAACTCATATGTATCAACTTAATTAGTCTCTTTTGATCACTAAATTAATTCTTGATCAATACGAATTAAATAATATGATTCCTCAACTAATATATTATACTTATAATATATTAATAAAGCATGAATAACCTCTTACTCAAATGTCCATCTATCAAATTGTTCTGGTGAAAGCAACCCGAAATGGAACATGCTACTATCGGGTCAAGTACATACCAATTATAGTTATGAGCTTAGACACATAATCCAATAGTTTTCATAAATACATAGTGTGTATGTATTTATATTATTAGAAACTAAGTACCTCAAGATAGTTGTTTCCATCGATATTGTTGAGAGATTGGATTAGTTCACCAACAATCGTGTTCATGTTTTTTAGTCCCTGGTCCATAAACCAAGTAAAAAGTATAGAGTATTTAGAAATGTTACATTTTGAAGAGGTAAATTTTAGCACCCAATGGTTCTGTCTACCATCTATTTTATCATATCAGCCACATTTATTTGTCTTCTCAATATCCAACTACCTTTTCTTCAAAATTTTGTGTCATCAATCATCAAGTCAGAATATCACCCATTGTTAATCAAGCCAATAGTTCAAAATAGTAAACTGATACACCAAGAACAAAGTCAGAAGGTGTTAATTATGACCTTAACATCATGTGGTTTGAAAAGCTTATACTTCTTCTCCTCGAAGTATTCAATATGTTGTCCCCTTATCAAATGCCTACACCTCGTACCAAATTCATATCAGTTCAAATCTAGAAAAAAAAATACTTATGCTAATTTATATAATCTAAAACATAGAAACTAGAGTTAAGATGATAATCAATATGAAAACCCTAGGAAAACCAAAATTAAGAGTTAAAGGAAGTAGAGATTAGAAACATAAGTGGTGATGTGAGCTAGGAATGTAGGAGAATTAAGAGATCTACATGGAAATGCAACTTACACACTACTAGAAATTAACCATAATTGGAAGTTGGTGAATAATACTTTAGATTTTCTCAAGTTTACGATATGATGCACCAATGGATGAACCAACAGATCGAATGAAGTTGATAGGGAAACGAGTGAATCAATAAGGAAGGGAGATGGACCGAGAGGAAAGCCAACAAGGATGTGATTTCTGAGGTTTTCCTTTGACGAGCTTCAAGTATACTTCAGAGAGGGGCGATACAGGTGGGCGGTGGTAAAGGTGATTTCCCATGGTGGAGGAGTGATTTGAGTTTATATCATAGAGGGTCAATTAGGGATTTGGGAGGAAATCATTTAGGGCTTGGAAAGAAATCGGATGAAATGAAAATATAACGATGGAATGAAAAAGAAAGAAAAGCATAAATGAAAAATAATACAAGGGAAGGAAAAAAAAATAAAGGAAAGCGGGGAATGAAAAAAAATGAGGCGTCTGATTTTCTATGAGGGATTGGTGAGGCCCAAGAAAAAAAAGGCTTGTGAATTTTAGTAATCCGTCGTTATTCCCTCGCTAAAAGCAGTTAATTTGTGATAGATAGCGACAAACAGTTTTTGTCGATAAATTCTTACCATTATGTCAATGATCGCTTGGTAATACCTCTCAAAAATTGTATAAGTCTTTTGGTCGGTATATTTATGCTTTTTGTTGCTAATCTCTCGATAATTCGTTGCTGATCTCTCGATAATTCTTAACTAATTAGCTACAGATTGAATCTGTCATTGAAGGTCATGTTTCTAGTAGTGTTGGTTGCCGTAAACCGGTAAACCTCCAATTTACGCTCGTAATAATATTTTTTAAATACTTTATATAAGTTTATATAACAAATAAATAAATAAATAAAAGACTAAAGATGTATAATTACAAAACTTGGTTATCCATATCATTATCTTATACATTAACTAGGCGAATGCCTGCGCGTTGCGCAGAAACAGCTATATAGTTGATGTCTTTACAAATATATGTTTTTTTAAATATAACAATAACGTTGTTAAATTTGATATAATAATTTGTATATACTAAATTGATATAATATATTGATTATATTTGAATTATATGATAATATATATACATTTATTGTAACTTCATAATCGAAATCATTTGAATGAATTCTACCAACGAGTTATACATGAATAAAATTAAATATAATATATGATTTGATGTTATTTATAGTTGTTTTTATTGTTAATTAATTTTTAAAAATTTATTTGCTTAGTATTTTAATTTCTATCATCATAATTATTTAAAATATCAAACATTGTTTTTTTTATTATTTTAAAGCTAACAATATAATCATTTATATAGAGTTGTTTTTAACTATTGTTATTGTAAGTTATTTTAAGTTACTTATTTGGATACTTTTAACGATTATAAAAGCATATTTAAGAAATATTTTAGTTAAATTGAGTTTACAATTTAGTTTTTGCTTTTATCACTACAATTTATCACTTTTTACTATTTACAAAATATTCTTTAGTTTTTTAAATGGAACTGAAATTTATATTTGAGTTAACATTGTAATGCGCAGAAACACCAATATAGTTGAAGTCTGTACAAATTTATATTTTTTAAATATAACACTAACGTTGTTGTTAAATTTGATATAATATATTATTTGATATAATATATTGATTATTTTGAATTATATGATAATATATACATCTATTATAACATTATAATCTCAACCGCTTGAATGACTTCTACTCGCGAGTTACACATCAATAAAGATAAATATTATATACGGTTTAATATTATTTATAGTTGTTGTTGTTGTTAACTAATTTTTTAAAATATTTTGCTTAATGTTTTAATTTTTATCGTTATAATTATTTAAAACATCAAACATTATTTTTTGATTTTAAAGGTAACAATATAATCATTTTTATAGAGTTATTTTTAACTATTGTTATTATAAGTTATTTTAAACTACTTATTTGAAAATTTTTAACGATTATAAAAATATATTTAGGAAATATTTTAGATAAACTGATTTTACAATTTAGTTTTTGCATTTATCACTATAATTTATCACTTTTAAGTATTTATAAAATATTATTTGGTTTTTTTAGTGGAACTGAAATTTATATTTAAGTTGACATTGTAATGTTATATTTAAATTAACAATTTAAGTATTTTGTTCAAATTTTTCAAAAGTTGTAGCTTTAAACTAATAATGGTTTAAATGCAACAACATTTTAAATCTAATTAATTAAGTACAGTATGTTAAAATTTAAAGACATAACTTTATAAATAAAAATAAAAGATATTATTTTAAAATTGAAATTTAGTCTATTTATGATTACACTTTAGGTTTGATATTTATTTAACCTTATTAACCAACATACAATCATTATTAGAAAGACATTACAATTTATCATTTTTAACTATTTATAAAATAATCTTTGAGTTGTTTAAGTTAAATAAAATTTATATTTAAGTTGAGCCTATAATGTTATATTTTAATTAATTATTTAAGTATTTTATACAAATTGTTCAAAAATTATACTTTTAAAATGATAATGGTTTACATCCAACAATATATTAAAACTAATAAATTAAGTATAATATGTTAAAAGTTAAAAAACATAATTTTATAAGTAGAAGCAAAAATATTATTTTAATATTTAAATTTAGTTTATATATGATTACACTTTAGATTTGATATTTATTTAACCTAATTACCAAATTATAATAATTATTATAAAGAAATTGAAAAGTCATGGAAGTTTCAAATGAATGTGGTGAAAGGAAAAAAGAATGGGCGTTTCAAATGCATGAGATTCCAGAAAAAATGCTAGCTTTATAAGTATGTATGATTACTTCGGTGTTAATTTTTGTTTCAGATTATAATTATCTGTCCCCGCTATCTTGTTGAGACTTGAGAGTACACCATGCTCTCGCCATTTATTTCCCATTTTAATCGAATCGTACTGATACTTCAATAACACGATTTTTGGCCCATTTCCTTCACCAACTACATCTCCTACTTATCAATTCCACTTAGCCATACATGTTAAACGGTTATCGTATATAGCAAAACGTTAGGCGGACGCTTGGCGGTCGACTGGTGCCAAACGATTAATCGGTGTTAGAGGGGATTAATCGGAGACCCTTAATTATTATTATTATTATTATTATTATTATTATTATTATTATTATTATTATTATTATTATTATTTAAACATTTAAGTAATGTCATTCAAAAAAAACATTTAAGTAATAGACCATCAGAGTGCAAGTCCACAACAAGTTTAATAATCCCAAAAAAACACATTTTCATTGATTTAAATGTTCATCTTCTTCTAATCTCCTCCAACCTTTTCTAATATTTGAACTCCATCCGACTCATATTCACCTTCTTCAAACACTTGTTCCTCACTCTCGGACTCGAAATCTTCATCGAAAATTCTATAGTTTTTGAATTTTGACGGGATGCTTGATTATCATTAGTCCCGAGAACTTCATCAGTCGATTCCATATTTGATTCGGGGTTGAATTCATCTACATCACGATCATTACAATCAACAATCCATTCTTGAGCCGAGTGAGAATCATTTGCTAAAAGTACTTCCAAAGTCCTATCTTTTTTTTTTCCATTAAATTTGCATTGAATTGAACATAAACAAGATTGTTCAATCTACTTGTCTCCAACCTATATCGTTTCTTTGTATGTACCTATAAAAGTACACACAATGAAGGGTTATTTTTTTTTTGCATATTTAAAGAATTAAAGCTTATAACTTTATAACTAACCGCTTCAAACGTGCTCCAATTCCTTTCACAACCCGATGAACTACTAGTTAAAGAAAGAATCCTCAATGCAATCTTTGTTAAATGAGGAGTCGAGCCACCAAAATGTCCCCACCATCTTGCTATAATTTTGAAACAAAAACACATTATTAAATTAACAAATATAAATTTTTACCATTTTATAAAATAAATAAATAAAAGTATAAACAAATTACCCGGATCAAAGTCGGTATCGTTCACCATACAAGATTTATATGCAAGCTCCACTCCGAATCTATCAACCTTCTCCTTGTACTTTGGCAACTCAATAGTCACGGCTTGTCTTTGCATCTCTAAATCTCCAAAAAGTAATGTATCAAAAAATTCAAGAACCGCATCCATGATGTCGAGATCATGTTGGAGTTGTGAATCCTTATAATGATGATAAGGATTCAATAGTCACGACTTGTCTTTGCATTTCAATAGTCATGACATAAGAAACTACTAGTGACAACAGAAAACAACAAAAACAGGAAACATAAAAAATTAAAAACCGAACAAAAAATAACAACATATTTCAGTGAATAACATCAAATTTCAATGAATAACCTTAGATATCAGTTAATACCTGTTGAAAAAATCAACACCAACTATTCTTTTTTCCACAAATATTGTAAGGTATAACCATAAACAAGCACAAGACATTCACAATCACAGATGTGAAGATGTGTATACATGTAAAAACTAAAAACAGGAACAAAAATCAGATTTCAGTGAAATACTATTCATTATCATCGAAGTTCATCACAACACACCAAATATAGAGAAAATATCACTGATATGAAGATGTGCACAACACAAATCACAAGATATTCACAATAATAACAAGAAAACAAATTTTGATTGCAGAAAAACAAGAATGACTTGTGTTTTTGTAATCACCAAAAAGTGAAACAAACCATGTAGCGTGAATCCTTGAGTTGCATCGCTGTCCCTTGCGTTCTCGTACCTTGTGTCGACGTCAGATGGTGTCGCCGATGATGCCAGCATCGGAATCTGTCGCCACTCGCCAAGAAGTAACGAAAATAATGAGACCTCGTCAAAGATCGTAGAGAGAAACAGAGGCAGTAAGCGAACGAATGAAACTTTAAGGTCTATGTTTGATTTTGGAGCCTTTCTTTCTAATTTTGACCAGCCATGGACTTTTTTAATTCGTTGACTATTGTTGACCGAGAAGGCCAATTAGCCCGCCAAGAACCGGTGTTGACCGATATTGACCAAAAACGATTAATTTGACTGCCAAGCCCTAATCGTAATCGGCCTAATGCCGCCAAGCGATTAATTGGCCGCCAATACCGATTTCTGCAACACTGGTATATAGTGATGTTTCAATTCAAATTTAATGTAAGTATTCCTTAAATGCCTCTAATTTATACATATATTGCACATACATTAATAATGTTCATTCTATGTTATTATATCATTGGCTTTAAAAAGATAAAACTGTAAAATTGGACTTTATCGTATTTAAAAAACTTTGGATAGAGTCTAAAAAAATTTCAACTTGTATTGATGGTTCAAAATCAAAGTTTTCTTTTAGTTTTGGTCCTAAAGTTAAAAACTTTTATAGTTTTGGTCCATGGGCACTGGAATTGACTGTTTTACCCTAAAAAATTGTATTTTTTTTACATTTTTTATTTTGTAAATATTAATAAAAAATGTCCACCCCATAACTCTCTCTCTCTCTCTCTCTCTCTCTCTCTCTCTCTCTCTCTCTCTCTCTCTCTCTCGGAACACCAACCATTTCATCTTTTCTGGTGAACTCCCCCACCTCTAGTTGTTTGCTTCACCCAAATCCATATTTACAAAATAAAAATGATCTCAAGTTACAAGATATCAATAAACCCTAGATTTACAAAAAAAAAAAATGTGTATATGTTCCATCTTCAAAATCGTGTTCATCCACACCAATATCCAAATAAAAATTTCATACTCACCCCTCGTCTCCCTCTTCTCCGTCTTCTGCGATTTCCATCAAGGAACATACCAAATTGTGAGGTTCTGGTTTTATTTTTTGTGTTTGACTCGGAAAGGTCAAACGTGCTAATTGATAGAACGGAAATGGTCTTTTGTTTATTTTTTCTACTTTCTAGTATCTGTAGTTGGTCTTGCTTTCTCTAAAAGAAACTCATCTGCTCTGATCTCCTTACTTCCATTAAAAACATAAGCCTTAGTGATTTTCCTTCAAAAATCCCTCTTTTGCAATTTCAAGCTCTCTACAAACCATAGCTGTGTCGCGCACGACTCTTTGTTTGAATTACAACAATGAAGAGGTCCGCCATTTCTCAATCTGCGTAGAGAACCAATCTTCTTCTCCTCTCAACCTCCGTCTTCCCTTGATTTCTATTTAACTTATAAAAATCAAAAAGGGAGTGCCTTCAACTCAAAACACACACACATACACACCTACAACTCAATGCATACACACTAAATGAGATTTTCAAGATTTGTAAATCTTAACAATAATCGAAGCAAATTTCCACAAGAATCGTGTAACATCCCCATTTTCACGGCCAGAAAAGACCGATTTTGTTTATGCTTTATAAAAATCAGAGTACTTCTTTTCATAAAAATGTTGCGGAATTTGTTCACAGAAAAATACAATAAATACGTTATCAAAATATTTTCGAAGAAACGTATTTTAAGCATTTTAAAATGTTTGGAATGTCATCGTGAATATAGAAACATAAGCATAAACAGAACTTACATTTATTTACACTAGTGATCTACATCTCTTTAATTTCTCAGTGTAATGTGACTTCATATCAACACCTGTGATATAAATAAACTAAGTGGGTCAGGTTGGGAAACCTGGTGAGTACATAGGGTTTTCAACCCACAATAATATAATTATTATGTTTAAACAATCAACCCAATTACCCATCCCAATTATCTTCTTTAATCTTAAGGATCTACCCTAAGAATTAGTTATTCCTCGTTCATTCATTCCTAAGGATCATCCTAAGGAATCGACACAAAGTCCATCGTTGCAACGGTTTACACAACGGGCACTAATTATGCATAGTCGCCAGCGTTTAGGCATCAAGTCTGCATGATCACTAGGGTTTAGGCATCAAGTCTGCATGATCACCAGGGTTTAGGCATCAAGTTTGTATGATCACCAGGGTTTAAAGTACACCGGGTGAACACATCATTCACAACAGCTACAGGTTGCGAGCCTGCTAGTGTTCCACTGGACTGTCTAGCATAGTCTGTGGTTGTCATCCATACTCTGCTGAGTGACGGGGCCATCATTTGGGAAAAAGGCTTCTTACATCGTCCACCTCTCACCCTCACCTCGTGGTCTATAACACCTCTCAACTCATCATTCAACTCATATTCCATCTATTATATCTACCCATGTTTACCCCAACATTATCGTACATATAAAATACATATACACTTTAAATCATTTAAAACATGTATAAAATCGTTCATCTATCATAGACAACAAGCACTCAGATAATATGCACACATAGCACGTAATTTATATAAAATACTTCATATCTATGTGTAAGATAAAGTAACTATGCACTCACTTGAAAAGGTGGTGATTCCGAACTCAGACAGCGCTTCACTTCTTGAAAAAAAAAAAATTTCCTTCGATGAAACCTAGTATTATTATCACTAGAGTTTAGTCTATTATTCACCGAGACTAATTAATAGTCTAGCTATTATTACTATTAAATAACCGTTAAATAATACTTATATAACCCATAATAATAGCCCAATTACTTATTATATGTTCTTAATAACATTAATATAATTAAATAAAAGTTATATTAAAAATAGCGTAGGCGTAGCTCACTTACAACAGGTTTTATAGAAAACCAGGCTTTGCTTGGAGCAACATTCCCATGCGGAAAAGCTCTTCTTCTTGGAGCCGTCGAGTACTCAGGGGCGTCCGCCTCGTGCTAGGGAGGTTCCCTAGGCTTTTCGGGGGGGGGGGGGGGGGGTTGGGGCTAGATAAAGGTTCTAGAGAGAGAGTATAAAGAGAAGAAAAAATGAGAAAGGTGTGATGAAAATGAGGGTGGGAGAGGTTGTATTTATAGGGTGAAAATGGCTGAACTTGGTGCCACATGTCACCATCTAGTGGCAAGACTTGGGGAGAAAGCAATGACCAAGATTGTCACACATCACCCATTTTCGCACAGCACACTTCCGACTTCTAAAATCCGTAACTTTCACATACGACCTCCGTTTTTTATGTTATTTATATCCACGCGTAGGTAAAAATAATATCTACAATTTTCATTTTGACTCTGTCGGCTAATTCTCGATCAATCTTAAATTTAACAGTACGAGGCGTTTAGATTGTTAAATGACCGCAAAGAATTCGTAACTCCTTCATACGGACTCTGTTTTCGTCTGTCTTTTTACTATTAAGTTTCTATTAATGAGATCTTCAACTCTCATTTAAGTCACGTAAGCCAAAAACCGTTCGAACTAAAATTCGAGTTTCGGGCCCTGCACTGCTAAGCCGAATCTTAGAAAAATCATAACTTCGTCATACGAAGTCAGATTTTGGGCGTTCTTTTTATGGATTTTCTCGGTTTAACATATTCTAGAACTTTTTTTTTAGATCACTAAGGCTAAAAAGTCCTGCATCGTAAAGTCACTATTTACGCTTCCCGATGCCGTGTCGGTTCCATCGCGAAACTTCGACGGGTCATAACTTCTTCGTTATAACTCGGATTTCGATGCTCTTTATATATACGGAAACCTTGTGACATATTATACAACTTGGTTAAGATTATAGAACTTGTTGAAAATTCATTTTCGACCCCTATTACCTCTAAATTGACTAGCCCGGATCTACGGGCGTTACAATTATCTCCCCCTTAGGATGATTACGTCCCGGAATCATCAACAAAACAAGGCTCGTATAATGACTCCATACATCATCTCTTCATCCTAGGTAATAATTATAACTTCTATATTCCTTCAAGTCTATATCTTAGACTCATTGACTGTAAGCAATACTCGATCGTGCACCTGCTCTCTACCACAGGCTAGACTCCAAATTATGACATTCAAGGCACAATCTCGATCTTTACTGGATACGAACTTGAGATAAGTTCTTTTATTACTACTATGGATCTATGTGTCATATTCTAATAACCTATCATCGTATGTTGCAACGCTTTAGACTTAGGTCTCTTAGAGTTAAACTCCAAAACAGAGTATAACTTCCTTCATGTTCTAATGTGATACAATCACATTTCAATATGTAGCATTTCTAGCTACCAACTTCTTTAACAGGGTTAATATTATAAAAGCCCTAAATTTTTAACCTGTAATTGAAAAAATCCCTAATATTTTTTTTATTATTGCTATGGCCACAACTTTTTCACAAAATTATTACTCTACCTCACTTAACGAGTTTTATGGTTAACTTGGTTAAATTTTTTCCAAAATCAGTCCTAAAATGTTCAAATTTAGTCCCTAAGGTTTGCAAAAAATTACACCACGTGGCTTTTTAACTTTATTTTTTGTTTTTTGTATACTTTATTTATTTTCGGTTTTTTTTATAAATATATATACATTTTTATTTGCTTTTTCTATATACTTTATTTATTTATATTTTTTAACTTTATTTTTCAACAATTTGATTTTTTTTACCTTTTATACCTTTTGTTTTCTATTTTATAGTGTATATATAGAGTATATTAGAGTTTTTTTAGTTTTTTTTTTTTTTAGTTTTTTTCATATTTCTTTTCGTATTATATTTTAATTTTTTCATCTTTATATTTTTTTCTTATTTGTTTTCCAATTATTCGTTTTTATTTTTTGTATTTCAAAACACGAATATATCATTGCAATGTAGATTCAACAGGCAATGTTAGCTTGGATAACTTGGAAGAAAATAGTTGAAGTCGTGCTTTAACAATTTCAAAGGTGCTACTTGCTTTGAGATCAATCTTCACCAACCCTAACCATTGTATGTATTTCATTCTTTTTGTTATAGTTTAATCCTTTAAATTCCCCAT